GAGAAAGGGAGCGCTACACTTCGTAGATCTAGGTGTGGTGATAAGAATGCTAAGGCTGCTAGGTTGTCGCCCGGAAGCGACGCACCACTCCAATGTCCGGTGATGGTGTCAAATATGCAAGGGCATGATGAGGGTCGATGTGGTGTGAAGAAGAGAATGCAGGGTGTTAGATTGCGTTTTGGGACATGGAATCTTGGCTCTCTTACGGCAAGACCATTTGAGATAGCCGAGGCTATGAAGAGGGGGAATTTTAGCATAATGTGCATTCAAAAAACTAAGTGGGTTGGAGAAAAGGCACGTGAGATTAATCCCGAAGGTTTTAGCTTGTGGTATTCGGGGTGAGAGAGGAACAAAAATGAAGTAGGTATTATGGTGGCACATGATTTTGCTGAGGGTGTGGTTGAAGTCTTTTGGAAGAACCATCGCATCATGGGCATTAAGGTTATAATAGGAGATGAGATCATGTCTGTGTTAAGTGCCTATGCATCACAAGTGGGATTGGATTATGCGTGGTTATCAATGGATTCCACCATTAATTAAGTGGCGAAGGAGATACTCGAAGAATTTAAAGGATATCTGCCACCAAAAAAGGACACGCCTTGGTGGAATGATGAGGTGAAACAAGCGATAAGAACCAAAAGGGAATGCTATAAGAAATTGGGCAAAAGTCTTAGCGACGAGAACATTGAGGAGTACAAGGTGGCTAGAAGAAGATCAAAGAAAGTTGTGAAGTAAGCCAAAGTAAAAGTGATCAAGGAATTGTATGTAAAGTTAGACTCTAAGGAAGGAGAAAAAGATATCTTCCAAAATTTAAGTGTGTGAAGGATGTCGATCAAAGGGTACTAATGGAGGACGAGGAAATAAAAGAGATGTGGAGGTCATACTTTGATACCTTGTTCGACGGGAATAAAGTGCAATGTATTGATGATCTAAATATACCCAAGCGTATGGTAAATCGGGACTTCGTGAGAAGGATTCAAATAGCAGAAGTTAAAGAGGCTATGAGAAAAATGGGGAGGAAGAAAGTAATGGGCCCAAATGGCATACTGATCGAGGCTTGGAGAAGTTTGAGAGAGAAAGGCATCGAGTGGCTAACACGTTTCTTCAACATGATTTGGAGAAACAACAAAATGCAGTGAGTTGGCGGAAGAGTACTCTCATTCCCCTATTTAAAAATAAGGGTGATGTACAAGAATGTGCCAACTATCAATGGATTAAGCTTATGAATCACACCATAAAACTTTGGGAGCAATAGAGCAAAGACTTCGTAAAAATGTGAAAATTTTGGAGAATCAATTTGATTTTATGCCTGTACGCTCAACAACTGAGGCCATTCACCTTCTTAGACAAGTTGTGGAGAAGTATAGAGACACAAAAAAAGATCTGTATTTGGTGTTCATTGACTTAGAAAAGGCATATGATAAGGTATCTCGAGAAGTCCTTTGGTGGGCCTTAACCAGAAAAGGCATATCACGTAAGTATATCGGTATCATCATGGATATGTATGGTGCTTGTAATGTAAGTGTCTGCACTAGTGTAAGGAGGATCCCAAGGTTCCCTATTACTATCGGAGTGCACCAAGGATCGACTCAAAGTCCTTTCTTATTTTCCGACAATATTGTATTGATTGAGGAGATACAGTCCGGTGTTAAAGAGAAGTTGGAAGTATGGTGACAAACATTGGAGACCAAGGGTTTCAGACTGAGCCGAAGCAAGACTGAGTATATGAAGTGCAAGTTTGATGGAGGTAGAAGTAGTAGCAACAGTGGGATTACTCTTGATGGTAAGGAGATACCGGTGTGTGATATGTTCCGTGATTTGGGCTCCATAATTCAGAAGGATGGTGAATTAGATGGAGATGTATGTCATAAAATTAGAGTTGAGTGGATGAAATGGAAGAGTGCATCAATATTTCTACGCGATCGAGGTATGATGGCTAGATCGAAAGGTAAATTTTATCGAACAACAATTAGGCCTGTTTTAATGTATGTCGTAGAGTGTTGGGCGGTGAAGCAATGCCACATTCAAAAGATGAGTATGACAGAGATGCGTATGTTGCGTTGGATGTGTGGACACACCAGAAAAGACTGCTTGAGGAATGAGATAATCAGACAAAAGGTGAGAGTAACACCAATAAAAGATAAGATGCAGGAGTCTCGTTTGCAGTGATTTGGGCATGTGCGTAGAAGACCGAGTGATGCATCTGCTAGACGACTTAAGGGGTGGGGAGAAGAGACATAGAAGGGAGGAAGGGGAAGACCTAAGCAGACTTGGATTAGAGGGATCAGAACTGATATGCGTCTTCTTGGGTTGGATGAGAGTATGGCTTTGGAGAGAGCAAAGTGGAGGGCGCACATCTGTGTGGACGATTGATTTCTTTTCTACATTTCCTCTCTCTTTTATTTTATCATTTATCTTCTTTATCTTTTATATTCTTATATTATTTTTATCTTTTAGCTTTTTATACACTTTTATCTTTCTATCTTTTTTCTTTCTTATATTCTTATGTTATTGTTATCTTATATTTATTTATCTTTATTTTATTCATTTTATCTTACTTCCCCCCTCCCCCATTGTCTGTCTCTTTGTTTGGCATCGATATCATAGATCGATTCATGTTAGGACCGCAAATTCTTTTGACATTAAGGCTTGCATGTTGTTATTTTTGTTGTTCTTGCATCTTTTTAAAAGTACAACTCACTTCATAATAAATATAACAACATAATTCCTTTTTAAAGATTAAATGATGGGGTATTACAAAAAACAAGAAAATGACCTTATTAGCAAAAAAATACGGAGTATTAATATAATTAGTAATACACCACCTATCTCCTAACAAACAACTTTTTATGAAGGTAGATAAACTATATTAAAATACCAAACAAATTAAGAGTTACAACTAATCAAAAGATCAAAATTCACCACTTATCTTTTAACAAATTTCATCTAAATTCTAGAAATGCCATACAATCACTCTGAGACGTTCACTTCCAAAAAAACTGCGTGAATCGCTGATCACCCAAAAAGCAACATAGAGTTTTTTATGACTTTTATGATCACTATACTCTTTACCACTTCACTAGACTCAGAATAGCCAAAAGTTCTCCTTGAACCCTGATCAGACATAGAAAGGTTCACCCAAAATTGAGCGAAACGTTTATTGAACCCACGGAAACTTTGAAGTAATAAATGGATGTAGAGATGTCAATACTTCCAATCATAGCTAAACTAAATAACTCAAGACTGTCACTAACATAAACAATTCGTTTATAAGGTACATAGACTATCAAAATAAAATTAAAACTTGAAATAAAACTAATGCAAACACTGGCCAGGACCAAAAGATCGAATGCCAAAACACCGCCGGTGACCACAAGTAAAGCGGCTGCCGTTGTAAGTGCCGTCTGGCTACAAGCCTTGCTCCAAGCATAAGGAGACTGCTATGGTGAGTTTTGCCTGGTCACTGCTGTATCCTAGGTATTGATGAGAATCCAAAGCCAAGAAACAAGCCTCTCCACGTACCCCTTGTCAAAGGAGAAGCTAGCCGCACGCTTATGCCGTGAAAAAACTAAACCTTGCGCAGGAAAGCAACCCTACGAGGGAGATTATCCTCTTTTTAGAGTAAAAATCTACTACCTTCATCTCTCCGTTATGTACCTCAAACTATATTAGGACTAGCTCAAACTAGATTTCAATCATACAATTGTTTTTTTGACAATATCATAGAGTTGTTAGAGATGAGTGGTTGCTGTTTTTACGTAATGGACATTGCTAGGACAATGTTTAATTGCTTTTTCATACACAATATATTTGCTTAACCAAAGAGTAAATTAATTGTTCAAACTTGACATATTATTCTCTATTTAGGTGTCAATTTATCATTTACTCCAAGAATCAATACATGTCTATTAGATTGTGAGATTACTCATATATAGGATTGTAAATGAAACAAATAATTTTGATCCGATTAGGGATTTAGATCCAAAAACTATGATTTCAATTCGAAAATATAGAATATATATGGATACAAATACTAATCAGATTTTCGATTTTAACACCTTTCCAATATGAATATACATAATTACATATTCAATTTGAAGAATTATCAAGTACATTCGTTTATACAACATCAGTGTGTGTATAGTATAAATCACACTATGTGTATGCATTAACTACCCAATATAAGTGTGTATTGTATAAATCATACATCTAATATTTTTTATATGATCAACGATTTTAAATATCTTCTCGTTAAAAAACAATGTTAAATATCTGACATAAAATTAGAGTAATTTTACTTTAATATAATTATCATCTCATTTCCCACATTATAGTTATAATTTCTAATATGTGTATGTTAGTGTTTATTTCAAAAACTTTGAAAATAGATTTATGTATATTAATCATATAATTGATTCACTTTAGTATATTGTGCACAATCTAAAATCACACTGATCCATTAGATTTTAGAGAAAAATGTAATGTTAGAAATTAAATTTTAAAATCACATATTAAGTCAAAACATGCATTTATACATAAAAAAAAGTAAATATATAGTAAAAGTTGTTTTAAAGTGATATTTGATCAATATTTAACTTATGATCAAATTGATTCAGTATTCATATATAATTCGTTAACTATTTCTATTGTTAAATCAATACCAATAGAAATCAAAAGTTAGTACAAAGTATTTATTTCATATTTCAATTCGGATTAGAAAAAATTAAACAAATAGGAATGCGAATTGCACACAATTCAAAGTATCAAAGGATTAGAAACATTTTTCTCAATAGTGTTGTCATCAAGCTGGAATAGCTCAGTTGGTTAGAGCGTGTGGCTGTTAACCACAAGGTCGGAGGTTCAAGCCCTCCTTCTAGCGCCATTTTATTTTCCTTCTTCTTTTTAAACTTTAGTAAAATTTCAAGAGGCAAACACGCCCTTGCTTTTTCCACGTTTTTTTTACCCCTCCATCTTTTACCCCTTCAGTTAAACTGAGTGAACGGAAGTACGCAGAGGATCCAGATTCAAGTACTTCGTATTCAACAAAGGTTGAATCAGCCATGAAAACGTCAAAAGAAGATGAAAGAAGCCTCCCACCACCATCGAAGAAGACGACATCTTCGATCATTGTCGAAGAGTGGAATGGTACATCATCAACCAAGCTCACCAAGACTGCCACCATCTCTGCCTCCCCCTCCTCTTCTTCTCTTTCCATCCAAAAGTCAGGCAACCCATTTGCTCATATCTCTGGGAAAATTCTTCAAGCTTTCATTCCTGAGGTAAGATTTCTCTCTCTCAAATTTACATACTGTTTTGATAATTCTTTAAGTCTTCAGGTGAAAAATTTAGCTCTGTAGAACAATATGCAGTCTTCAACTACAATTAAAGATTGCTAAATCCTTTCTTTCAGCAAATACATGAAATATAAAGGGATGCGTTTCAAATATAGTAAAAAAGGTTGCATCTTTAAAACTTTTTGAACTGTGACACCTAAAGATCCAAAAGGAGAACACACAGAACCCACTTGTATTTTAATTTTTCGTACTTATCATTCTTTCTACCTTTATGTTAAACTGACTAAACGGAACTGAAACAGAGGATTCAGATTCATCAATGGTTGACTCAGTAGATTTAAAAGATTACATTTTTTGAGAGAGTGATTTTTTTTTTCATATTCAAGTAGATTTTATGATGGGAATGAGCGACATTGTAAAATTATAAATGCACAATTTATACTGAAGTACCCACAATAAAAATACAGAATCTTTTGTCGCTAACATGGTTGATAAGAGTAGTTCCACATCGAATAATAGAGTGAAACCTACAGGTTTATAAGATCTCAGGTTGAACTAGCCAATCTATTAGATTTAGTTTTTAATGTGCGTTGATCGAAGTGTATTGTAACTCTGTTTAGTGACTTAACCCAATTCTGAAGTGTCAATTGTATAATGGTGAATGTATGGTTCTTTTCAAGAGATGTGCTCTTTATCAGGCCATTTCTTTCTAGTGATGGAAATAGGAAACTTGAGTTGTGTTAATTGAACCAAAATGTTTTCATATATCACATTAAGGTGATTAAGACTGCCTACAGGGGTAAGACTGCGTACATCCGATCCCCCTACCCCACCATAGGTGGGAGCCTTTGCGGCACTGGGGTAATGATGGTGATGATTAAGGTGATTAAGCTATCCTTTATTGTTCTAGTGTTCAGTGAATTTGTTTTTCACTTTTTGCATAAATAGGGATTTCCAACCAGTGTCACTCCAGATTATGCCCCTTTTCAAGTCTGGGACTCCTTACAGGTTCAAATTCTAAATACCCATTTTTTGTTTTCTCTACTATATACTATGTATAGAATTAAAATTTTCCACTAGTAGTAACCTCAAGCTTTTAATACAGGGGCTTTCAACATATGTTCGTATGATGCTGTCGACACAGGTAAGATTTGAGTACAGAAATGCATGATTCTTTTTACCCATTATTGTAATATCAGAGGCTGATTTATGCAAAGCTTAGGCTCTTCTAAGTGCCATTGGTGTAGGAGAAAAGTCCGCTACTGTCATTGGTGCTACATTTCAGGTAGGGTTTATGTGTTTCGGTATTTATTGAAATCTGTCCATTTTTTTTGTACTGACATCAGTTTTTTTTAAATGTTGAATTTCGTACAGTGGTTTTTGAGGGATCTAACAGGAATGGTTGGTGGCATTTTATTCACGTTTTATCAGGTTTGTGTGTATATGGTGTAGTCTAGTGTGTAACTTTTAGATTAATCTCTCCTCTTTAAAAATCCTTTTGGACTTAGATGCAATTTAACTTGATTTATGGTCAAGGCTACCTGTTTGTCACATTAATCTTGGTTGTCTATTGAGTTTGAGTGTGGTGAGTTAGCATTAGCTATTAGGTAAACCTCAAGTTAAGACCAACTTAACAAAAGTTTACAGCATCTCTGTGTTTTTAGGGTTCGAATTTGGACAGCAATGCCAAAATGTGGCGGCTGGTTGCTGATCTTATGAATGACCTCGGTTGGTTCTTTAACATTCTTTCTAATATTGGGACAGGAAAATACATCAATAAGACTATGTCATCTCTCTAACCCTCAACCGTGTCTGTCTTAATTCTCATAGGAATGTTGATGGACCTCCTCTCTCCATTAATTCCATCTGCTTTTTTGTTCATTCTTTGTTTGGGAAGCTTATCAAGATCATTCAGTAAGTTCTTATACAATCTCCTTCCAATCTGTCCATGGACTTGGTAGGTGATATACCTGATTTCTCATTTCCATGTCTCCAGAGTTATGTTTGCTAGCCCTTTGGGATAATTTCTGAGCAGTACGGAGTATATGATTTCCTGAATTTCGTACAAGTAATGTTAAGAAAAATAGTGTTGGATGTGAAAACCATCCATATCTATATATTTCACACCATCATCATTACCTTAATGTGAATTACATTTGGGTCGTGGAAATAAAATTTATGGAGTCCTTAATTTTTTTAAAATTAGTTTACCCTATAAAAAAGGAATAATGAGATGAAATCCCAAATAGAATGTCATTATCATTTCTCTTTTCACTCTATGGAATATATCAAGGAAGTTGTTATAGTCAAGCCGCACTGCAAAAATGATAAAATCAACTTGCACACATCATGGAACATGACTATATCTGTCTCTTTCACACGCTGTTCTTATTTAGCTGGTGTTGCTAGTGGGGCCACAAGAGCAGCTTTGACACAACATTTTGCCCTTCAAGACAATGCAGCTGACATATCCGCAAAGGTACATAGACTTCCACTAAAATCACAGAGCTTTCCTTCTGGATAATTGCAACATGCATCATTACAGCTTTCTCCTTCCTTGATTAAACATATAGGAAGGCAGCCAAGAGACTGTTGCTACAATGGTTGGGATGGCATTAGGAATGTTACTTGCTCGCATCACTACGGGACACTCAATTGCCATATGGACCTTGTTCTTGTCTCTTACTGTTTTCCATATGTATGGTCAGTTTTATTCATCGCTTTCCTCTATACCTTCCCTCCTAGGTCCTAGCCCTTGTATTGCTCAATCTTCTGCTTCTAAGCTGTCCTTAATTTTGTTGTTTGTAGCAAATTATAAGGCTGTTTGTTGTCTTTCACTGACCACTATGAACTGTGAAAGAACCTCCATTCTTCTGTTGCACTTTTTTGAGACGTGCCAAGGTGATTAATTAATTTTTCCACAACCTTCTTCATCTTTCAACTAAAGACATTTAATTAATTTTTTTTGTACTTGAAGTGTTAAGTCATCTCACATCAGAAAATATAAAATTCAAACATACAAGACATTGTATTACACTATTACTTATCCTATTAGGTTATCTTTCTATGATGGATGTTAAGTCAACCTAATGGATTATTAATAACCCCCCTATGAGCCACCATCGCATTTTAAATCATAAATGGATCCTGGAGAATGAGAATATCTGCAAAGTCAAATACAAGGAGAAGAGTCTTATCTGCGAACCATTCCATGCCAATGTAGTTTTTCAAATCCAAACTGAGTGAGTTGCTTATGTTTTATTGCCAGTTCGCTCTCCAAACCAGGTCTCCTCCATGGAGAATATTCTGCCGTTATGGATGACATCATGGAGCCCTAGAAGTATTAATCCGTTACACAAGAAAGTTTTCTTAGGTGTAAGAATTACTTCACTTAAACGTAAAGAAATGTAAGTTTAGTTTGCTGTTCCTGAATTGCCGGTGCATATCATTTTCATAATTTTCAGTGCAGATTGCATAGCTTCCCCCATGTAAGTTTATTCCACAATCCACATAAGAACAATCAAAACCGCAGGTTCTCAATGAGTTTTTTTCCCCATGATGTACAGGGAGGACCTCTTGAAATCTGCTGGATCTCATTACAAAAAAGGTTTTCTATTCTGCACTTAACTTCATATAGTAAATATACTCTATGTTTTAGTTGCTCCATATTCCTCTCAGGGAAGCTTATCAATACTTTCTCCACTTTCCATTTTTTCAACTACTATCATATAAAAAATTATAAACATCTTATCAATCCTTAAGTTGCTTTTAAATCTTATTTATCCTTCTTTTTCTACTTCTTCATGTCTGTTCTACATTTTAACTTTTTATACACTATTCAACACCCCTACTGTTTTACTCTTATATTTCATCTCTTTCGGGTGGTTTATCTAGCCAAGTATTTACTGCTGGAGAAAAATGGATTCATCAGCGTTGTTGTGCATAGAGATTCAACACCGGCAGATATCTTGCGCTCATTCATACATGCTCTTGTCATGTCAAAACTTGCTGCTGGGGGTAAGCCATCTGTGCATGTGGAGAGTGAATTGTGGATCGAAAAGCACTATGAGACCTTCATCCTAAAGGTTTTCTTCTACCTTGGATGCTCTATACTTGTTTTCTTGAAGTTGACAAGTTGGAATTTCTGTGTACTGTAGGGCTATGTTTTATACATTCCCCTTCCAAACTTTTGAAATAACAGTACACATTTATGTCTGTTTGGCATGCATAACTGAAGAGCTATCTGGGAGCTGCAAAGTATGTTGCTAGGAGCTGAAAGTTGAAATTTCTAATTGGTCTTAGGAGTGTTTGGTAAAAATGTATAAAATGACATTCCTTATAGGGATTAGAAGATATAAGTGGACAAAGGGTGCTCTTTCTGTTAAAGAATCGTGTTATTAGAGGAAATAAATAAAAAGCTTGGACACTGTTTTCGAATTACGATATTGGATAGCTTTTTTAAGGAATTTTATCAATTCAGGACCTGAAAGATACACGAACTATCAATCCGGGACCTGAAAAATGAAATGTATCGATATAGGACCCGAATGATGAAAAACTATCAATCTAGGACCTGCATGATTGAAAACTATCAATATAGGATCTAAATTATCATAGATTTATTGATTTTTTTTATTTTCAAAAAATTAAATATTATTTAGTTTTATTAAACTAATAAACTGTTGTGAAGAAAAAATCATCAAATGTTAGCAATGGAATTAATAAGAAAATAAATAAATCAAAACCTATGAAATGTTAGGTCCTAGATTGATGGTTTTTCATCATTCGGGTCCTATACCAATACATTTCATCTTTTAGGTCCCGGATTGATAACTCGTGTATCTTTCAGGTCCTGGATTGATAAAATTCCCTTTTTTTGGAATTTTATCAATTCAGGACCTGAAAGATACACGAACTATCAATCCGGGACCTGAAAAATGAAATGTATCGATATAGGACCCGAATAATAAACACTTATTCCAGGCTCTTACTTTATCTATTAGAAAACAGGGCTGGGGTAGTTTATTTGGAGCTTAAAATAAGTTATAAACCTTAAAATAACTACACACTTGCGCTTTTAACTTACACTCCACACGTCTTGTTGTCTTGTGTTTTACTATGGCAGCTTCAGTCATCAGGATGGAAAACAGAACGCCTTTTATCTCCTTCAATCATTTGGAGAGCAAAATGGTTATTGGAGCCCTGTGAAGATAAATCCGACTAAAATTTCACATCGAGCCTGAAATTTTCCAGTTTCGTTAAACAAGATTTATGGCAACGTAAAAGTTTGAGTTTTCAACTTCCTGACAAACACTCTTGCAACATTGAAGCTGGGAAAATGTGTTGTTGGCGATCTGCTATTTATTCTTATATAACTGCTTCTTGGTAGCCACTTCTTCACCTCACTTTCCACAATTACACACAGGGATATAAAACAATCAAGAGATGTGAAAGCTTTACCAGCTAACGAGTTGGCATAGAAGTTTCCCTGTAACAAATCTTTTTTGATCCATACTGCATCTCTCCTCAAGGGAATTTTTGTTTTTGCTTAGAGCTTTGCGTTAATGCACTACTGAAGAATAGCTTTGTTGAATACCCTCAAACATACCTTGGAAGTTTGTATTGACTTGATACTTCAAATTTTGTGAAATTATGACACATCGAAGCGAAGAAATCTTTTGGGTTTGTAATGCCTTAATACTTTTCTGTGAAACTATGAAACATTGAAGTGATAAAACTAGTTGTTCTAGAAATTGCCCAAATACCTGAAAATGACATTCAACGTAAACTCATAAAACGTTCCATACTCGTATCTGCCCACTAAACTAACTAAAGTGAGTTCCCATTCGACTTAAATCCTAAGGGGTGACTGGAATTGATGATGCATATATGGTTCTGTAAGGTATACCCAACCGGTTCAGGTTTGTTCCTATTAGGGGTGGACTCGGGCCGGGCCAACCGGCCCGGAACCGGACCGGCCCGCTACTGTGCGGGCCCGGACCGGCCCGGTCAACCGTTGGTGCACCGGTTCGGGCCACCCGGCCCGGTGGGATGGCGGTCCGGGCTCGGGCCCTGATTTTGGTGAACCGGCCCAGCCGGTTCGGGCCCGGTCCGGGCCGGATTTTATTATTTTTTTTTGAAATTTTTTTAAGTTTTGGGTTGGATTAGGTATTTTGGGCCATTTGAGGTGGTTTGGGGTGGTTTGGGGTTGACTGGTTGAGGGGGAGGGGTAGGGGGTTAAAAAGGAGAACAAAAAAAAAAAAAAAATAGACCGGTTGGCCCGGCCCAGCCCGGTCCGGTTTGGCCCGGAACCGGAACCGCCCACTGGCGGTTCGGGCCCGGGCCCTAGTTTTCTGGCCCGAGGCCCGGCCGGGCCCAGGCCCGAACCGGGCCTGAACCGGCCCGAGTCCACCCATAGTTCCTATCCGATTTTGTAGTTAAAGTAAAATTAATAATGATTGTAAGCCGGTGGTACTATTTTGGTTCCATTTTAGAACTACATTTTGACCTGGTAATACAACTCAAACATGAATGCAATCATGTACATAAACAAAGTTGAAAGTGATGATAAGACTAATTACAACAACAAAGAGCCACATTAAGAATCCAAAAACTTGATCCTAAACATATCATAGTTACAAATTTATTGTGATTTTTGCCGTTGCAACCAAGTCTTTGTACTCCTTCAACTTCATATATAATTACATTTGTTTTTAGGCGCCTGCACTCACATGCCCAAAGCCAATCATGATATATTTGGAAGTTCGGGTCAATTAAGGTTTTTGGTAAAACATTCAGTGTCATTGTTTGGCATTTGGATTTTGGACCAAGAAATTCAAAGGCTTCTCTTGACCACCGCCTGTGCTTTGCCTAGCAAATAGGCCTTAGTTTTCTGCCAGCTCTTAGCGTTTTTAAAACATTACTAAACAAAATAATTAATGCCAATTGCAAAGATTTTGTGAGATTCATAAGGTAAGTGAATGAAGAAAATTTGTGGGTTCTAAATGGCTGAAAAGGCTATCCAAGACCATATACACAATTTGAGAGTCAACATGCGATTGGTCAAAAGCAATGAACTCATGGACAGTGCCTTCCAGTTCAAACCAACTACATCCCCTGCTCTTCTCAACCCCATTCTTTCTCATCATTCTTCGTACTTGACCCATTGCTTTCCAGTTCCCAGACATTGAATGCAAATTTGCCAAAAGTGTGTATCTGCCACTATGATGAGGCTGTAAGCTAATTAGCATATTCCCTACCCATTCCCCTAACTCATACTGCTTGTGAATCAAGCATGCACCAAACAGAGCACCCCACACACTCGAGGTGGGCTCCACCGGCATCCCTTCAATCAACTTGACCGCTTCATCGAGCTGTCCAGCCCGACCCAATAGATCAACCATGCAACCATAATGGTCCACGGCTGGTTTTATTCCATAGACACTCTCCATCGCTCCAAACAGTTTTTTCCCCTCATCAACAAGTCCTCCATGGGAGCAGGCACTGAGAACTCCTATGAATGTCACCCCATTTGGCTTTACCCCATTGGTTAACATTTCCCCGAAGAGATCTAAGCATTTTCTAACTTCACCATGCATTGCCAAACCGTTAAGGATGGCTGTCCATACATAAACATCTTTATTAAATGAAATCTTCTTGAAAAGTAAGAGTGCTTCATGGATGCATCCACATTTTGCGTACAGATCAACCAAAGCAGTGGCAAGAGCCGGATTTAAACCTAAACCATTTGACTCGATATACTTCTGGACCCACCTGCCATGATCAAGAGCACCTAGTTTAGTACAAGCGGCTAGAACACTTGTTAATGTGGCTTGGTTAGGCTCTAATCCACTTGCCAGCATGGATTCAAAAGCGGTCAGTGCATTCTTGAATTGCTCACAGTTAATAAATCCAGATATCATCGTTGTCCAGGAAACTATGTTCTTGTTCGGCATCTCTGAAAAGACTAAACTTGCATCACTGCACAATCCGCATTTGGAATACATATCCACTAGAGAACTCCCGATGAAGATATCTTGATGGACTCTACCCGGAATTATATAGAACCCGTGAAGCCATTTCCCGAACAAAGAATATCTTGACAATCCGACTGCACAAAGAGCACTAACTATAGTGCCCTCATCCACCTTCACACCCGCTCTTCTCATCTGTAGAAAGAGCTCCATAGCTTCGGCTGGCCTACCATTCCTCGTGTACCCATCAATCAAGGCCGTATAAGAAATCACATCCCTTTGAGGCATTTCAACAAACACCTTGCAGGAATAGTCAATGTACCCACAAACGGCTAGAGAAGAAACCAAAGAGTTCTGCACAAAATGGTCAGTATCAAATCCAAATTTCACAGTTTGGGCAAAAAGCTGGAGTGGGTTTTCTGTTCTGGCCTTAGAAAATGCCTTGAGAAGCAGAGGGAAGGTGTGTTTGTTAGGAAAGACGAGACTTTCCCGCATCTTCGCGAAGAGAAGAATGGAGTTGTGAGGGTTTGAGGTGGTGGAATAGCCTTTGATCATGGCGTTCCAGGAATGGGCATTGGGTTCTTTGATTAGAGTGAAGATGGAAAGAGCGTAGGAAGAGGGGAATGAAGGGAGCGATACGCATTGGTCGAGTAGTTGCCTGAGAAAGGAATTGTGGTGGCAGAGACCAAATGTGATCAGCAGAGAATGAATCTGCTTGAGATGGATCAAGCTCCATTTTTTCTGACCTCCTTCCAAGAAATATTTCAGTGTCTCAGGCCAGCTGGAAATGGGCGCTGGCATCAGATTTATAAGAGCAATCCAATATGATTTTTTTAAGAGAAAGCAATCCAATATGATGGGATTATTACAACTCACTTTAATTCTTTCACTTGAGCGCATAAAATTTAAAATTCAGGACATTGAGCATTCAGAACATCATGCCAAAAACAGGTACGGTATCAGGTGAATTAAAAGTAAGGATGTTTTCTTTTGGAGTGAAATTTGCTGGTCTGGTCTGGTCTGGTCTGTTTAAGTCTGGTCTGATCTGGTCTGGTCTGGTAAACGTCTGGTCTCTGTGTATTTTATAACTACGGAAGTCTGGTCTGTCTAAGTCTGGTCTGGTCTGTTTAAGTCTGGTCTGGTCTGTTTAAGTCTGGTCTGGTCTGGTCTGGTCTGGTAAACGTCTGGTCTCTGTGTATTTTATAACTACGGAGGTCTGGTCTGGTCTGTCTAAGTCCGGTCTGTTTAAGTCTGATCTGGTCTGTTTAAGTCTGGTCTGGTCTGGTCTGGTCTGTTTAAATCTGGTCTGGTCTGGTCTGGGACTGAAAAAAGTCCAAAAGAAAACATCCGATCTTTTAGTTTGAGAATGGCGAGAGATGTACAAAAATTAAAATGCATAGAAAATGAATAGAAAATGAAGGGAAAGTAAGAGGTCGTCTGGTAACACTGTTTTTTCGGCTTATTAGGCTTATCAGCCAACTTTTTCACCAAACATGTAATTTTTGCTTTCGCGCAGAATTGTGTAATAAGCAGAAAAAGTAAGGTTGAAGTTACTTATCTGGTTGTATTGGCTGAAGTTACTGTAGATGATCATTTTAGCTATTTTTACATACAATTTTTTCTTTATTTTATTAATAACTAATAACATATATTTTATCAGCAGAATCAGCCAATGCAGCCACTTCAGCCAAAACTTCATAAATTTCAGCAGAATAAGTCAAATCAGCCGATTTTCGTGCTATCAAGCGGGCTCTAAAAGTTAGGAAAGTTAAATATTTAGAGCACATAACTTAAGAAAGATAAATGTATCCAAATCGGTATAAAGAATTGCAACTAATTTAGTTTTGAAATCATAGACAAATGAATACATCTATACTTGAAGCTAAACATGTATATTTATAAGCACACATGCTAGTTATCCTAAAATGTGTTAGTAAAATCAAATCTTTATACTGATTATAGATACAATTCATATCATTTTATACTTTCATATAATTGTCCATTCAGTTAGCCTAAGAGCAACTCCATTGGTGATATTCAAATGAACAGCTTTTTTGTGCCACATCATTGCCACGTCTAAAATCATAAATGATATCAAATATTCCTAACTCCTTCTCAATCATGATCTTAGATTATTGTGATTTTTGTATAAAATGCATTAAAAGAGCCTCTCTCCTACAAACATACATGTTAATGTGTATATATTAATGTACCGTATACTTCACCATTTTTCTATTTTTTCTGATTACAAACATTATTTGATCTCTTCTGTAATTTTTTTCTTTTGTTCAAATCCATCCTGAGTTGTACTCGAAAAAAATAATGCAATGAGAATTGTTATTAAAAATCATGACCATTCAGTTTTTTTAATAATCATGACCAATCAGTTTTATTAATCACATATATTAATATATACAGAAGGATCATTGTCGAAACCTGCAAAAAATACGTAGTATTAATATATACGGAGTATATTTTTAATCTGTACGGAGTATTTATAACATAGAGATATATTTTAAACGCATGTGTTTAGAGTATTTCACGTACTTTTTTAATGTATGAAATTGCATGATTTTTAATGTATGAAATTGCATTTCACGTAATCAATCATTAAATTAAAAGGCAATATGACCAGAGGCTGCGTGCCACTTTTGAAGCAACTGAGTTTTTTTTTGTCTTTTTTTTTGTTTTTTTAAGAAGGAACTGAGTTTTTAATTCACATATAGCAACATATACGGGAACAGCTAGTAGTAGTTCACTATGGGTGCTAATTACCATTGAAAGAATTCCCAGTTAAACGGTTATTAGAAAAGGAAAAGTATCACGGCTCACCAAAAGTTCCATATTTGATGGATTGACTTTTAAAATAATCTGGTTTCAATGTTTGATACTGGATCTTTTTTATAAATAATCTTTGCAAATAATTTCACCATCTCAATCATGATCTCAAAATAATCATCCACATCATCAAATTAATCTCTAAATAATTAATCTAAACAATGAGGATGCTCTAATTATCTTGGGCGAGGGTTGCACCATAATTGTCCATTCAGTTAATCTACCCCTTATTAACGTGTTTTTAACTGTCCATTCAGTTAACACATTTTTATTAATGCCCTTTTTAACTACTCTAGGTTTCTATAGGAACACTCCTCATTTCACCTAAATCAGGAGTCTTCATTATAAAAATTATGAAGCATTGGCCTCCATGCCTTATTTTAACTTTTTTCAGGAAATTTATAAACTAATAATTCTTATTCCTCTTCTTAAATGTGTATTGTAGTTACTTCAAGCATTGCTAAGAACTGAAAAATAGGTGACTTTTAAATGACCCATTACAGTGATATGAAATAGTTGGAAAAAGCAAATTTCAAAAGAATTGAAGAAAAGACCAAGAAAGTCCATCAAAGGCTTTGACCATATCAAGTTTCACCACCAAATTTGTACCCTTGTTTTCTTGTCAATAGAACCAAACATTTCTTGTGACATAAGAACATGTTTAGAAATATCTCTCCCTTACATGAAACCAGTATGTTCAACATAAATAATTATAAGTAAAATAAGACTTATTCTACCTGCCACAATCTTAGTACTATACAAACCCTACTTATAAAATTAGATAAACTGATTGACTTGAAATCAACAAAGGTGGAAGGCCTTTCCTTTTTAGGAATGAGCACAATCAAAGAAATGACCATGTAGCTTTAGGGATATGATTAATTTCCTAGAAGAAATCTCGAACAACTCTAACCACGTCCCAAGCCACAATATTCCAACGCTTTCTAGAGAACACTCCATTATAACCATGACGACTAGGAGCCCCATTTTTATTCAAGTCTCAGAACTGCTTTTTTGGTTTCATCAAAAGTAGGCAGTTGCATAAGCATGTTATTAAGTTGCCATGTATATTAATTTAATTAGCACAAATGATGAATATACTATTAATATGAATAGAATAAGATAGTACACATACCAATATGTGGAAATGGCTGTGATGTTAAAGAAAAGACATTGTTAATAATGGTAGCCGAGCTTCAAATAAATCAACAAAATTCATAGTCCCTAATTAAACTTGTACTAAACAACACTACTAATTTAATTCATAATAAAAGTTATAAAATAAAATAAAATATACAGTATTTGAGATCACATTTTATTAATCAAGAAAAAAAGATAATAGACATACCAATATTCAAAACCCGTTTGGTAGCACGAAAATCGGCTGATTTGGTTGATTCTGCCGAAAGTTATGAAATTCTGGCTGAAGTGGTTGCATTGGCTGTTTCAAGAAAAAATTATTTTTAAAATATTTTTTATTAATAAAATAAAGAAAAACTTATATGTAAAAATAGCTAAAGATATGACGTATAGTAGCTTCAGCCAATACAGCCAAAAAGAGCCTTACTTTTTCTGCTGATTACACAATTCAGCACGCGAAAGTAAAAATTACTTGTTTGGTGAAAAAGTTGGCTGATAAGCCGAAAAACAATTGCCAAACAATATTACCTATAGTGGTCACTGTGGCCGGTCACCACATATTTTCTAATAAATTTACACCAAAGATAATTTAGTTGAAATAACATTTAGGAAAATCAACAAATTTTAATATTTATTCACCATATTCATAAAAATTCATCTTTAATTTACTAAACGAACACTACAGAATAATAATAATAATAATAATAATAATAATAATAATAATTATAAAATCAGTTAAAAATGTGAACTATAATTAAAAATATAATCATATCTTATTATTACTACTAGAAAATGACTAATTAAATTAATAAAAAGTTGGGAATACTTATCAAATTGAGCAAAGCACTGCTATTCAAGGTAAATTAAAGGAGATGTGCATTGGCGTTGCCTTCAGCTTGACGTCGTTGCCGACTCACCGTTACTTGTCACTGCCAATGACCGACGCGCATGAGGAGCGACAAAGTTATTGTTGTGCACGTGTTGCTGTCGGCGGTCACGTCTGTCCAAGCCCGTCACATCCGTCTTCCAGAGTCTTTCGCCTCCGCCTCGCTTGAGCTGTTGCGCCGTTGTATATCTTTAGGGTTGGTTCCAGCCTACTTCCAAAGCTGCGAGCTAGAAATAGATATGTAATACAAAAAAATTAAGAATTCATGATATTTATCAACGTAATAACCACCACGCGTCTCAGTTAGTATTTAAAATAATTGTTTTATATACGCTTCAGATTTTATACAATAACCGGTGCATTTATTTCAAAATTTTTTTTTAAAGAAAATGAAAATACCGTGTCAGATATTATTAAGGAATCACTAAGCGTGTGCCGTACTTTTTTTTAATACAACTTTGAAATTATCGCTTTTGTTTTACTTGAAAGAAAATTATCACTTTTGTAGTACCACAAAATGATCTCATGTCCTCACATGGTCATGCTAACATGTCGTCCTCTATACGGAGTATATAATATATACTCCCCACCCGTCCCAAAACAATAGTTACATTGCAGATTTTATAATTGGAACTATAAATTAAAGTGTAAAATCACAGGCCGTATGAGCCGAATTTCCTGTCTTCCATTACAAAACAAGGTTTTTCATATATACACTTTACAGCCGTAGACTAAAAGGAAAGAAAATAATGTTTCTCCTATTATGATAAACACCCATAACTGTCGAAGGCTCTAGAGTCTAGACTAAGAAAATAAATTCAATACAATAATTACAAATGGAAAGTAAATATTGTTACTACACTATACGGCTGGAACAATCATAAATGGAAACAAATGATTTGAACAAAAATTCCGGTATCCCGCTCAACACCCCCCCTCAAGTTGGAGCGGAGGGATCTAAAACGCCCAACTTGTGCATTAGAAACCGGAACTGTTGAGCCCCTAGCGGTTTGGTGAAAATGTCAGCCAGTTGTTGAGAAGAAGAGACATGGCAAGTGTGC